GGTTTCTATATCAATTTTAAAAGAAAAGGACTAAATAATTTCCTCAATATAACTAATAAACCACATATATTTAGGTAAATGTTTATTTATTTATTCATTTATTTTGAATAACCTGTATTTACTTTCACAATATACGTAATTTTTCTTCAGGATTCCAGCTTTTTTGTTGGGTTTTTGTGTTTCCCTTAGGCCCTGTCCACACGTAGCCGGGGATCTGCCAACACGTAGATATTTTTCTACGTTTTGGCCTGTCATCCACACGAAAATGGAGTTTTTTCACACGAAAACTGATCTTTTAAAAACTCCGGCCAAAGTGAAGATCTGCGTTTTCTCCGTTTTGGGTGTCTGCGTGTGGACAGACAAAACCGGAGTTTTAAGGTCCGCAACGTCACTTTCCGAGACAAAAAAATGCTGACATCACGTGTGCGACCTGTGTTTACACTAGCCGACAGCATGGATGCCCTCAGAGCTGCGCTCGCTTTATCATTCTAAGAGCCACTAAGTACATCTATAGAAACACAATAATTTTTAGCCGTGTTTTGGTTTTGTTGTGGTAGTATAGCATTTTATAATGAAAACAGGCTAATCTGAAAATAATTTAAATATGAAATATGTTTTTTTTAATAAATATTTACTAAATTTCTAAATCAGCTGAAGTAGCCCACCAAACTTAAACGTGGAGTGAAGAAATTCCATCTAACTTTTTAGAATCTGACTTTTTTCTAAATAAACATTAAAAAATATAAATATTTGAAGTTGAATTTAATCTGATGCATACATTCAGAACAGGAGCATCAAATCAACTTAAAGCTGAGGTGAAGAGACCCCATGTCTAACATCTTGGGTTTATTTTGGTGATAAGGTTGGATCCATTCCACCATGGATCACCGCTGTTCCTGACTTTACAAATTCCCACAAAGCATCAAAAGAACTCTAACATGTTAGATAAGTGATCTCTTCACTATGCTTTTACTTTGATAGGATACACCTGCTTTGAATTGAGTCGTTAGATACATTTTTTATAATCCCGTTTAAATATTTAGATTTAACTCCAAATTGGGTTAAACAGACTAAAATCTGAGATAGAAGATTTCTTAATCCTGTTTTTTTTTCTTGTGAAATCCAACAGGTTGTTGGAATTTGCAAGTAAGTTTTTATAAAGCTGTTGAAAAATTGCTTTAAAACAGCAGGTATATTTAAGATTCAACATATGGGTTTAGTTTTATACATTTAGATTTCATTTTACATATTTATATTCAACGTTTTAATGATTTAAGTCTAAATATGGTCATTTACAGCTGTTAATTTGTTTTATGTAAGATTGATGTGAACTCTTTTTTGACACTTGCAGGTTAGCAATAGTTGTTGCTAAATATTGACCCTGATTTCCAGTTTTCTGGGAGTATAATTGCAACGGATATACAAGGAGTGCAGAATTATTAGGCAAATGAGTATTTTGTCCACATCATCCTCTTCATGCATGTTGTCTTACTCCAAGCTGTATAGGCTCGAAAGCCTACTACCAATTAAGCATATTAGGTGATGTGCATCTCTGTAATGAGAAGGGGTGTGGTCTAATGACATCAACACCCTATATCAGGTGTGCATATTTATTAGGCAACTTCCTTCAAGAAGTAATGAAAATAGAGTTGATATTTTTCTAGAAATATTTGAATGCCTATTTCGGTTGTGTGCCTTAGGGATTGAAATAAGATTTATGTGGGTACCGGCGCACAGGGGGATAGAAGGTAATGAATTAGCAGATTATTACGCAAAGCAAGCAGTAAAGTTAGAAGTAGTGAAACCGATCCCTTTTAGCAGTAACGAAGTGAAGTCAATGATTAAGGATAGAATTATGAATGAATGGCAGGACATGTGGGTAAGGGATAAAAAGGGCCGACATTTATTTAATATACAGAACGTAGTAGGTAAAAGGTCGTTTAAGGAGTTACATAATAGGGAACAAACAATAATAACGAGATTGAGATTAGGACATTCGGGATTGAACAGCACTTTGCATATTTTGGGAAAACATCAAACAGGTTTTTGTGATTGTGGGACAGAACAGGAAACGGTAGAACATGTTTTGTGTTTTTGTAGTAAGTTTGATGTAATTAGGGGTGAATTTATAGATAGGTTGAAAGTTAAAGGATGTGGTATTTGGAATTTGAGAACGTTGTTGAATGGCAGTGGGTCCAATTATAAGTTGGTGCTGGAGTTTCTTAGGAAAATTAAGGTATTTAGTAGAATTTAGTTTTTTATTATTTTTCTCTCTCTATATATATATTTTTTTTTTCTCTCCTCGCTCTGACTCACACTCCTGCACAGTAGGTGGCGGTAATGCACCTTAAGTTGGTTGCCACCCGCCATTTAAACCGGAAAGGAAGAAGAAGAAGAATTAGGCAACTTCCTTTCCTTTGGCAAAATGGGTCAAAAGAAGGACTTGACAGGCTCAGAAAAGTCAAAAATAGTGAGATATCTTGCAGAGGGATGCAGCAGTCTTAAAATTGCAAAGCTTCTGAAGCGTGATCATCGAACAGTCAAGCGTTTCATTCAAAATAGTCAACAGGGTCGCAAGAAGCGTGTGGACAAACCAAGGTGCAAAATAACTGCACTGAGAAAAGTCAAGCGTGCAGCTGCCAAGATGCCACTTGCCACCAGTTTGGCCATATTTCAGAGCTGCAACATCACTGGAGTGCCCAAAAGCACAAGGTGTGCAATACTCAGAGACATGGCCAAGGTAAGAAAGGCTGAAAGACGACCACCACTGAACAAGACACACAAGCTGAAACGTCAAGACTGGGCCAAGAAATATCTCAAGACTGATTTTTCTAAGGTTTTATGGACTGATGAAATGAGAGTGAGTCTTCATGGGCCTGATGGATGGGCTGTGGCTGGAATGGTAAAGGGCAGACAGCTCCAGTCCGACTCAGACGCCAGCAAGGTGGAGGTGGAGTACTGGTTTGGGCTAGTATCATCAAAGATGAGCTTGTGGGGCCTTTTCGGGTTGAGGATGGAGTCAAGCTCAACTCCCAGTCCTACTGCCAGTTTCTGGAAGACACCTTCTTCAAGCAGTGGTACAGGAAGAAGTCTGCATCCTTCAAGAAAAACATGATTTTCATGCAGGACAATGCTCCATCACGCGCGCCCAAGTACTCCACAGCGTGGCTGGCAAGAAATGGTATAAAAGAAGAAAAACTAATGACATGGCCTCCTTGTTCACCTGATCTGAACCCCATTGAGAACCTGTGGTCCATCATCAAATGTGAGATTTACAAGGAGGGAAAACAGTACACCTCTCTGAACAGTGTCTGGGAGGCTGTGGTTGCTGCTGCACGCAATGTTGATGGTGAACAGATCAAAACACTGACAGAATCCATGGATGGCAGGCTTTTGAGTGTCCTTGCAAAGAAAGGTGGCTATATTGGTCGCTGATTTGTTTTTGTATAGTTTTTGAATGTCAGAAATGTATATTTGGGAATGTGGAGATGTTATATTGGTTTCACTGGTAAAAATAAATAATTGAAATGGGTATATATTTGTTTTTTGTTAAGTTGCCTAATAATTATGCACATTAATAGTCACCTGCACACACAGATATCCCCCTAAAATAGCTAAAACTAAAAACTACTTCCAGAAACATTCAGCTTTGATATTAATGAGTTGTTTGGGTTCATTGAGAACATGGTTGTTGTTCAATAATAAAATTATTCCTCAAAAATACAACTTGCCTAATAATTCTGCACTCCCTGTAAAAAATAAACACCAGAACATAAAATCTAAAAATCAATTCAGCCTCTCACATGATAAAACGGTTGCTGGTTTATGAGTTTTGTAATCATTAAGATATCAGCTGCTTGCTGTTTTTGCGTCTGGTACTTCATGTACTCGGATGGCATGTTTTCCACTCTGAAATATGATTTGCTTTAATTCTGTGCCGCTTCTATTCAAGCAGAAAAGATCTGCAGCATTTGGCCAAATAAGACAACCCTAATGTCCTAATAGGTCCCAACAACGTGCCAAGCTTCTCTTTGGTTTTTGCATGTGCGCCTAACTGAATGCAACAAAAAGTTTGAAAAGAAACAAGTTCAGTATCTTTTTGCTGCGTGGACTCTGTGACCTGCAGCTCGATGCCTGATAGTGAGAGAAAAAATGTTTCTCTCGGCGATGTCAGTCAATCTCAGGTCACCGTTTTAAAAGCATTGTTGATTGACTGACTGTCTTATCTGGCTTTATCGTAGTTTTTTATCACAAAGGTGGGAAAAAGGTTTTTTGTTGATTTCTGGAAGCAGAAGACAGACGGCACGTGCCAGCTTCCCATGTTCTCAGTTCACCTCTCATGGCTTGCAACAATCAATGCCTTGGGACACACACAGACACACACACACACAGATGCAATTAGGATTAGAAGTGACGTGAATGCTGTCGGTGGCCTGAGATTCTACTGTGTGCTTGTAATTTGCTCCATAAAATCACAATACGTGTGTGTGTGTGTGTGTGTGTGGCAGACAAGGACAATCCAAACAGTCTAATTGTATTTTCTCTTGAGAAATTTCAAAGATGATGAATATGAATATGCGTATGAATGATTTGAAAGAAATTCCCTGCCAGAAAAGATAATTTATTCATTATTTTTTATGAAAATCATTTATCCACAATATCGGTTCTTATTTCTAACGAACAGCTTACAAAAATAAAAGCATCCCAGTAGTTTATGAAATGTGTGAATAAAACCAAATGAATTATATATATTTTTTCCTGAAATCTAGTCCCGATGTGCCACAAAATCAGAACAGTCTTAGAGAAAATAAGCTATGAATGCTATAGCGCAAATAAAATATTAATTAAAAAAACATATTAAAATAGAAAAAAATAAAAACAACAACTGAGCATCAAATTTAAGGGAAAAAATAAGGAGCGCGCAAAAATTGATACGTTTAAGGTCTTCCAGTGAACATCAGGGCCGTGTGGCACGGCCAAAAACTGGACTTTCTCGGATGTGCAATCTGTTATTTATTACAAACATTTTGTTCAGTTACATCGTTTCAACATCACAGTCGAGCAGTGAGGAGAGCATCCAGCTCATGTGGTCCCGCTGCTGGTGTCAGGAACATCAGTGTCGGTTTTCTGGATGCGCCGTTTAAAAACCGAACTTCACACAGACGCCAGAGGAAGATTTCAGCCTGAACTCATGTTCTCTCGCTTTCTCAAACACGCACACGCGCGCACGCACACACACACACACACACACACACACACACACACACACACACACACACACACACACACACACACACACACACTGTAGAAAAATAAAGTGATCACCAACTGAAGCTAAATTCAATTGCTTTAACATTTTTCCATCATAAAAAAAATCCAAGAAAATAGCGATCAATTAACGTCATGACGCACAACCTGACAGTCTAAATGAGATCTAGATGCGTCATCATGAAATCTTCTATATCTGTTAAGAGTTCTGGATGTTTTAAGCGACCTATGTGCCATGTGTGACGGTTTTAGCAGCATCTGGATGTTGGGGAATCAGCTACACGCACAGGACTGCTGTTTGGGAAACCAGCAGCTCCTTCCTGTACTGCTCCAGCCAGCATTTCAGCTCCGAGATCCGGTACCCCTCCGGACCCCTGCCTCCCTGATAAACCACCGTCTCATCCATCACGATGTAAAGTCTCTCAAAGTAGGCTCCGTACGCGGCGTTGGACGAGTTATCCATGTTGTCCACCACCATGTTACTCCCCGGTATCTCAGTGAGCATCAGCTGAGCGGCTCTCAACCGGTCCTCCAAGCAGCGGTGCTTGGGGATCTGGTACGGCGCGTCCGAGCTCACCCACCCGTCCGAGGGATGCGCCTCTTCGATATATACAACCAAAAAGTCCGCAATGTCCGCGTACTGCCGCACGACGCGCTGAAACGCCGCCAGGCGCGTCATGAACGGCGGTCAGGAGCAGCTGCCAAAGTTCAGAATGAGCGGTCTCTTCCCTTTCATGCAGTCCAGGAGTCGGACCTGCTTTCGCTCCTGGACCAGCACCACCTCGGTGTTGGGCGCAGCCTGCCCGAGGTGCGCAGATTTGAGAAAGTCCAGTTTTTGGCCGTGCCACACGGCCCTGAGCGACTCCCAGGTGAACATCTTGTTGTAGTCGGACACGCACACCGGCGGGTCGTCCGGCCCGTCCTGTCGCTCGCCCATTTTCAGCAGCACTTTCCTCCTGATGCACAAGAAATCCAGGAGCCAGAGCATGACGGCGGCCAGGAGGAACCGGGGCAGCAGCATCAGGCACAGGGCTGCGTGTTTCAGCGTCCTCGCCATTTGGACTCCACCGGAGTCGTCCATCATCTCATCCCCTGCCGATAGGGCGAGACTGGCACTACTAATATTTAGTCACCTTTAGCCATTGGAGAGAACTATCTGACGCAGGCAGGCACTCCTTTTATAGGTACGGCTGCATTTGAATAATAGAAAAAAAAAATTAAAAACACAAAAACGCACGCCTCCGGTTCCCGCACCGCCCACTCACATGGTGGGGATTACCTCCCGTCAACTCTGGCTTCAGGGGCATTGGGGGGGGGGGTTGGGGGGGGTGGGGTTCTGGCCTCACACAGTCTAAATGTCTGTTAAATACCACCACAGAGCTGTTTTAATTTAATTTAATTTCTCCTTACTGGCAAGCACTCCGTCGTTTCTGTTAATGTTGAAAGTTTATTTATTTATTTATTTATTTATTACTTTGATTCTGCTCGTCCTGACGGACCAAACCGCCACTAGGCGGCGCTGGATTCACACTAACTGGCATCTGAGTCAATTCCAAGGATCAGGAGGTGAACTCAGCAGAAAACCCTCGGATAAACGAGCTGCTGATGAAGCGATTGCAACCCGGAGTCATTCACACAAACACATTTTTGTCCACATTTCTGGCAAAAAGTGAGCTGGAGTTAAGAGGGCACCATTAGATTTTAATGGCCTATTCAATTCGAGTCTCTTAATTGTTCTTGTTTCATGTCCTGTTCTTTTGTATTCACAGTGTTTCTTGGTTTGTTTTGTAAACAGAATTTTAATTAAACCAAATACGGAATTATAAAATCCATTATGCTGAGTCCGCTTTGCCCGCTTCGACATAAAAGGGAAACAGTCTGGTGTTGACCCTGAAACGCTTTACCTCACCCTGAAACTTTCCACCACCTAGCAGGTGTTAACGAGATGGAGAACATGCGATTTCTGGGCTCGTAACAAAATCAACGTGCGTCCATTCATCCCTCCCTCAGCTCCCTCTCCTCCAACCCAATCTCTCTCTACGCCACCATGGTTGGAGACCCCAAAACTTCCCAACAAACCAAAACAAATGGCCTCTTGTCTCTGACAAAATATATTCAAGGCTTTATGAAGGATGTTGCGAAGTTACAGAGAAAGCGTGGATAGATGGGATTCCGCCACAAAAAGGTACAAGTGCACAAATGTGAACCAGGAACTGATGAAGCTTGGCTCCGTGAGGCAAGACGGGCAGAAATTGCACACGCAAGAGCAGCAAAAGAAGAAGCAGAAAGCACAATAAAGAGGTCAGCCATAACAGATCACTGCATAACCCTAACCCTATACTCCGGCTCGGATGTGGTTGAACGTAACACTACGACACCATGTCTGTTACTTGGTCTCTACCAAATCTGGGTCCACCTTGGTTTCCTCCTTGTTTCCTCTGGTTCTCTATTCTGTTCTTCTTCTCACTTTCTTTTTGATTCTGTTTTTTCATGTTTTTCTACTCTACTCTTTTACTGTTCATTAAGACGAACCAACAACTGGAGGGGAGTTCTAGAGTGACACGCGACGGCCCGTGCATTGCCAGTGACTCCCTATTCAACTGTTTCGGTTAAGCTACTGATTCAGGGGGAACTCACTGAGATTTATCTACTCCATCTACTCCACCTAATCCATAGGATCATAAACACCGAACAACAAAAATACAAAAGATGGATAAAAGAAGCAATCGAGATAAGGAGACGTGGATGTGGGACCATGAACAGAGACGATGGAGTTTACACGTTGGACCGCGCATGGGACTGCATCGTCGGAGAGGGGAGAGCGGGCAGCAGAGGGCGACAACGTCCTCTGCTGCCCGCGGATAAACGGAGAAGGAAGTGACGCCACCATCAGCGTCAGCCTGAGGAAGTTTGCAGCCGCAAACTAAACGAAGCGGGAAAACAGGTAACAAAACTGTACTGTGTTTTAAAAAAGAACGACAGCATGGAATTAGAGATACGACACAGCAAGAACACACCTAAGATGTTCAAAGAAATTGCAACTGCTGTGCATATTTCTAGTCTAAGATTGCCCTAAAGGTGCAATATGTAAAAATGAAGTAATAATGACATCCTTGTGGTCAAATTTGGTTTCTGTGGCCTATTTTCTTCATCCCAGTTCTATGAGTGCGATGGCTGTTACGGGCTCGGCACCAGAAGACGACGAAAATGTCTGCAGAGGCAGCTTATCGATCTCATGCTCCATCTTTCCCTCACTCGTCATGGACAAGACCCCGAAACTCTCCAACTGAGGAAGGACCTCATCCCTGACCTGGAAAAGGCATTCTACCAGGGGCGGCGTTAAGCCCGGCTACTTGGGCTGAAGCCCCGAATGTTTTATGAAAAGCCCCGGATCTAAAACGTGGAAGTAACATGCAGTACCAAAGGCCAACAGAGAGGGAGCAGCTGGCAGTAGTTTGTATACAGCCTGCCTGAGCCTCCACCACTGAAGAAGCCCTTCAGCAGCCGGCTTCTTCTACAGTCTCTGCCTGAAACGCATGAGTGAAGATGGACATGAGGACGTTTTTTAGACTAAAAGTACGGCAACAGAACCCCAGCTTTGATGATACTGGTGTTGACTCAGGTTTGTGAGTCTTATTTGAAAATATTTGTTGTGCTGCTGGTTTGCCTAAAGTTAGCTTACTATCAGGTAACGTTGTTGGAGAAAGAAAGGGAATATTTACTATCATCTCACACTAAACACTAACAGGAACAATACTCTGCCCTGAAAATGCTTAATATGTAGCTTCAGATTAAAAATTATGTGGTACAAGACAAATATATATGATGTTCACTAGTGATGTGTCACTTGTGTACGCGCTTGTGTTTGCCCCGGATCTTCTTCAATCCTAAATCCGCCCCTGCATTCTACCCTTTTCTGACTCAAGACCACGGTCTCAGATGCTAAAAAAATATTTTGTTAAATTGATCTTTATAAAATAAATTTGAGATTAAGCAACAAAGTTTAACAAAAGATGCCAAATGAGGTAACAGACCATTTATATAAAGAAATACAGGGCTTATGCCCGAGTTTTATCATATTACTGTTGGAAATAATAGTTATAACCAATTTTTGTCAAATGTTGCCAACATCATTGCATGCAACCTAATGTAATAATTAAGTAAAGCAAATTAAAGCTCAATATTAGTGAATTTGACTCGGTACAAGCCATTTTTGAGTTTGCTGAGGTTTTAAACAAGTTGTTTGTACTTGCAACATCAACATTTAATACTGTGGTGATAAAGACCCAGTGATTCACACTTGTCTGGTTCGTGTCCTTCAGCATCAAACAAAATTATATTTCTGTATATAATCCATTTCCTTTTAAATGATTATGTAATGGCGCCACTGTCGTCTCGGCGGTTTGGGTTCATTAAATTGTTTAATTGCTCAGAAAACCAATAAATGCACCCAATAAAAGAATGATCAAGGTTTAATGGGTTGACACCATCTATTTTTTCACGCATAGCCATGAAAGACACCTGCCAGATCTATGCAGCCTGATTAAAACCACTTGTGGGAGCTTGGCAGCTCTTGCACTGGAGGCCTCTGATGGTGATGCACAAAACCCTGAAAACAACAAACAACCTGGTGTTAAACGACCATAACAAACCAGATGTACCTCTTTGACACACCAGGTGCACTTCTATAAACATCTGCTGAAGTCGTTTTGCTTTGTAAGCAAATGTTATAAATGGATACCAGGTGGGATCCATCATCACAGGCCAGCAAATGGTATAAAAGACAGCACAAGTCCAAGGTAGTAAAGGGTTATTATTAAGTTTCCCTGGTTCAGATTTCAGTAAAATTACTGAGGAATTACAGAACAGCTTGTTAGATTAAAGCTACAAATAGAAAATACAACACAGCTAAATTTGTAACTTAAAGGGACATTATGGAAGTTTGACAGCCAAAACATGTATAGAATAATAAATGTCTTCTTCATACATTCTCCTGCAATGCCCTGGTCCTGTAGAATGAGCCCTGGCATTTTTACTGTGATTGCCTGTTTTTCTGTAAAATCACAGAAAAAGAGAGATGCTCGGGTCGAGCAGGCTGCTTCATGCGCGTTCACGCTCAGGCATAGCCCGTAGCGTTTGCTATCCGTAGCTTTAGCAGCAGAGAGAGAGGCAGTGCCACTTTGTCGCTGTTCCTAACGCCTAGTGACAAAGCTAGCTACATTTCTGAGGACCCTTAGCTACTTTCTGTAGAACTTTCTTCTAGATATTTCCTGCAAATTAGCAACAAAATAGCCATTTTCACTCCGAACCGTTCTTTGAACGTTGTTTCAGCTGTCATCAAGGATATAAAAGTTACAGATACTATGAATGTTACCAGAGTGTAGCTCACCTTGTAAGATGTGTGACTCCCATGCAGAAGACCTGGGTTTGATTCTGGATGTGAACATAGTTCATTTAGAGTTTCTTTTTTACATTAATGGTATATTTTTTTACAGTAAGATGCCCAAATTTTTATTTGAGACTCGCCGAACGGCATTGAATTCACAGATAAAAAAGATGTGGGTTCAACTTTCATTTTGGAACAATTTTTCAAGCAAGGGAAGGGAATGATCTGAGCATGCAGGAGGACCGACCCATCATAAACCTTTGTCGGCTGTGCTGAAGAGAAAGGTACAGAACCAAATTATTTAATTAATTAGCTGCGCGTTCTCCTGTCCTCTGTCCTACGGGCCACACACACACACACACACACACACACACGCACACACACACGCACACACACACACACACACACACACACACACACACACACACACACACACACACACACACACACACACACACACACACACACACACACACACACGGGACTGTCTCAGCTGTTGTTTTCATTAAGGAGTGTGCACGTACAGCATGCGCGCCTCGTGCACAAGCCTACTACGTTACGCTTTTGGCCTGAGGGGGCAATCGCGAGCATAAAAGTTAAAAAGTCCGAAAAGTCCCTTTAATGAAATGATGCGGTTAAAAATGCTTTTTGATGAATTCGTATTGATTACATCAAGACAGTCACTCTGATGTAAGACAGTCTGGATTCCAAATCTGATTTCTTGAAATCTTTTTGCCGATCTTGCCAAAAAATAACCAAATGAGATCATTTTACTTTACAGTTCTCAGTACTTAGTTGTTTCATTTTCTAATGAAGTGG